ACTCTTTCAGCCTCGAGTCCTTTCATCAGGTTTGTCTAGATGCAGCAAAATTCAAACTAAATGCAGCTTTGACAATATTGTTCCTGGTTTTATTCTTTTAGCCAATTAAAAGACTTGAAGGTACAGGATTTAGTCTCCCATGGAGCAGAAAAGAGTGTTAGCTGGGGGAGACATGACAGGCTGCTAGCTCCTGTGGTACAGAGAGAAAATCGAACCCTTATTCCCCATGTACAAAGAGGAATAGGCAGTAGCAGGTTAAGGAGGAACCTGTAATGTGCTATGGAGCTTGTATCTCCTTTGAGTCCAACGGTTCTGATCCAACAGTACGGCAAACCGCGTTTTAGAAAGCCAGGGCAGCTTCTGTACAAGGAGGGAGCAGGCTTTTCGGTCAAAATAAATGGCTAGGAAGATAGTCGCCAAACTGACAGCTGCTGGCTCACTGGGTTTGTGAAACTACAACCTGTTTTCTTATCAACAATTGCAGGCAAGTCTCCTCCTTGATGGGGCTTATTATAATAAATCCATGTGCCACTAATCATTTGCTTTTGTAGGTAGGAGAATACATTGATTGATCATCCGTAACTTTTAATTTGAACATTGTCAATGTGAATAAAAGTTCACATCTGCTTTATTCTGTCTGGCAACAGATGAGTAAAAGAGATGCATGGACTTCTCTGAGCTCAAACTGTGAGTTAGTGGTGGCATTTCGAATAAGGTTCTGTTTTGTCAGAGAACCAAAGAAAAAGAAATTCTTGCCATGTTGAAGGTCTTAACCAGTAGTTTGCAGCAGGATGGTTGCTCCTCTGCAGGTAGGGTGGACATCAGGGTGAAGAATGCAAAACCTTGTCCTAGGAATGTAGAAGCTGCCGTGCCAGGTCAGGTACGAAGTCTGTCTAGCCTGGTCTTCTGTCTCCAGCACTGGCTGAAAGAAAATGCCTGGGGAAGAGTGAAGGAACTTCGCTCAGGTTCCTTCCCGCTCTCAACCCATTTCAACCCTGATTTCCTGAGCTGGATGTGGTTTCCCCAAATTTAGTCTAACCCTCAGTAGATGTTTGAGATTTTTTCTAAGAATCTTTCCAGTTTTCCCTTGAACTAAAGCGGATTTTTTCATCTGCACTATCAAAGTGGCAGATTTTGAAGCGACATTGTGTTTACGTGTGCAGATCCATCTTTCCAGTCTTATTCGGACCAGAGTTCTGAAATGCATTTTGGAATCATGAGCAAGTCCAGGATCTCTCCGTTTCCCAGTGATAGCACTGGCTGATTGGCTAGGCCATGGCAGACTGGCACATACCGTGTTGGAAGCAAGGTAGGCAGTGGAAACGCTACTGAACGAAGCAGAAATGATCCACGCTTGCAGAACTGTCGGACTGTGCCTGTCTATAGTATCACAGAATCATAGGGTGGTTTGGGTTGGAAGGGACCTCAAAGCCCATCTAGTTCCAACCCCCTGCCATGGGCAGGGACACCCTCCACTAGCCCAGGTTGCCCAAAGCCCCATCCAGCCTGGCCTTGAACACTGCCAGGGAGCCAGGGGCAGCCACAGCTTCTCTGGGCAACCTGTGCCAGGGCCTCAGCACCCTCACAGGGAAGGATTTCTTCCTAATATCTCATCTAAACATACTCTCCCTCAGCTTAAAGCTTGTCCTATCACTCCATGCCTTATTATCACTAGATCATCTAGCCCAACGCCTCTGCTCAAACAGGATCAGCTAGAGCAGGTTACCCAGGGCCACGTCCAGTTGGGTCAGGTGTTCTCCTGCTGACCTGTGATCCTTCTCCCAGCTCTGGGCATCTATGGCTGGCACTGGGCATCAGACTGGTATTAGTGGGATGGACTGAAGTTCCCCTCCCCTAGCAACTTTAGTTTAAAGCCCTCTTCACCAGCTTGGCAAGCATACGATGGAAGATGCTTTTCCCCTTCTCTGACAGACCCCATCAGTCCCCAGCAGACCAGGTCCCGTGGTCTAAGTAGCCGAACCCCTGGCTGCAGCACCAGTCCTGTGACCATTTGTTGATTCTCCATTTTCAACTGGCCCTTTCAAACCCCTTCCCTTTGACCGGGAGGATTGATGAAAAAACTACCTGCTCTCCAGAGTAAATCACCCTCTCTTCCACACTGCCAGGATCTTTCAGCTCCTGTAAACCAATTATCCAATGCTTTAGCTCTTATGTTTCCTTCTGTAGTGTTGATGTTAGGGGCCATTTTTGTCCTGTTCAGACCCCAGAGACCATTTCACTACTGAGACAGTAACATTTGGTTCCATTTGATCTTTATTGTAAGAAGACAGCTTTATAAAACTCTGAATGTTTTTCAGTAAATGATCAGTCCAAAGTCAAACAGCGAGAGGGCAGCTCTCTTGGAGCCTCTTACCTTCGCAGAACTGACCCGGAGGATCAATGTGGTAATGATGTGCTGGCAGCCAGGTAGCGAGACTACTTGCTACTGAATGGATAAAATCTTTGCCTGTGAAAACCTGCACTGTTTAATATAGCAAGGACAAATATGTCTCTGGGTGCAGCAGATGAGAATAAAGGGGTTTTATTAGGAAAGCAAAGTGCACCTCATTGGAGGAAGTGGAAGCAAGTATGCAGCA